TAGCCAAAGCAGCACCTATTTCTGGGGCTGAGGACATTTTTGCATGGAAATGTGGAGCATTTTCAGGTTGCATGGTGCTCTTTGTACTTAGACTTTCTTTTTGTATGCAGTCCGATACTTGAGAAAATCCTGAAATCTTTGCGAGATATTTTCTTCCTGCCTTTTCAGTTGTCTATACTCCGTAACACATTCTAGTGAGATTAGGAATAAAAAGTTAGGGCAAATAAATCAATGGCTGAACAGATGGTGCAATGTGCAAGGATTCAGATTTTTGAATCATTGAGATCTCTTCTGGGGGAGAAAAAGGGATAGGTTTCACCTGAAGTGGAAAGGGATTAAATATCCATGGTGGAGAGATTTGCTAATTCCATTTCGGGAGCCTGTAAACTTTTGTGGAGGTGGGGAGGAGGAGGGGGGTGTCCTCAGTAACAGTGAAAATGGGAAAAACAGATAAGGACGGTTATGAATCAGAAAAGAGCAAGTTAATTAGAAAAGACAGACAAGAGCAAGTCAGAGAACTAAGTAACTCTGAAGAATTAAACTGCATTTATTCCAATGCAAGAGGCTTCAAGGGTAAAGCTGATGAACTCAGGGCATGTAGGGTAACATGGGACTGGGACTTCATAGCTATTACAGAAACTTGGCTGAGGGAAGGACAAGACTGGCAGCTCAATGTTCCGAGTTGTAGATGTTATAGGAAGGATAGAAAGAGAGGAGGGGGAGTGGCATTTTTCATTAAGGAAAACATTACTACTGTACTTAAGATATTTCTCAGGGATTGTCCAGTGAAGCTATATAGATAGAAGTTAGAAATAAGAAAGGGACGATCACCTTGATGGGATTGTACTATAGCACCCCCAATAGTCAAAGGGAAATTGAGGAGCAAATATGTAGAAAGATCTCAAATATATGAGAATTATAGGGTTGTAATAGTAGGGGATTTTAATTTTCCAAACATTGACTGGGACTGCCATAATGTTAAAGGCTTGTTGGATGGTGATGAATTTGTTAAATATGTTCAAGATAATTTTCTTTATCGATATATAAATGTACTTTGTAGAGAAAGAGCAAAATCTGACCTTCTGTTAGGAAATAAGGCAGGGCAAGTGACTGAAGTGCTCGTGATTACAATTCTATTAGTTTTAAAAATTATGGAAAAGGATAGGCCTTCCATAAAAGTTAAAGGAGTAAGGCAAATTTTAATGGTATGAGACAGGAACTTTCAACAGGTGATTGGAGTAGATTATTTGCAGGTAAAGGGATGACTGACAAGTGGGAGGCCTTCAAAAGTGTGATAACAGGAGCTCAGAGGCATTATGTTCCTGTTAGAGTGAAAGATAACACTGGTAAGATTAGGGAACAAGAGATGAATAAAGATAGAGTTTCTGGTCACAAATGAGAAAGAGTCATAGATATAGACAACTTGGATGAAACAAATCTCTTGAAGAATATAAAAGGTGTAGGGACATTCTTAAGAGGTAAATCAGGAGGGCAAGAAGGGAAATGAGACAGCCTTGGCAGATAAGGTTAAGGATAATCCAAAGAGATTCTACAAGTACATTAAGAGCAACAGAGCAACTAGAAAGAGAATAGGGCCCCTTAAAGATCAACGAGGTCATCTTTGTGTTGAACCTCAGGAGGTGGGAGAGATACCAAATGAATATTTCACATCAGTTTTTACCGTCGACAAAGAAATGGAGTTAGAGAACGTAGGGAAATAAATACTGATGTTTTGAAAACCGTTCACATTACAGAACAGGAAGTGCTGGAGGTCTTAGAAAACATGAAGGTGGATAGTCTCTGGGACCTGATCAAGTGTATCCCAGGACATTATGGGAAGTTAGGGAAGAAATTGCTGGGCCCCGAGCAAAAATATTGTATCATCTATAACCACGGGTGATGTGCCATAGGACTGGAGGGTGGCTAATGTTGTGCCTTTATTTAAGGAAGGATGTAAGGAGAAGCCTGGGAACTACAGAACTGTGAGCCTGACATCGGTGGTGGGTAAGTTGTTGGAGGTGATTCTGAATGATAGGATTTATATGCATTTGGACGGGCAAGAACTGATTAAGGATAGTCAGCATGACTGTGCAAGGGAAATCATGTCTCAGAAACTTGATTGAGTTTTTTGAGGAAGTAACCAAAAGCACTGATGAGGGCAGAGCAGTAGATGTTGTTTAAATGGACTTTAGTAAAGCCTTTGACAAAGTTCTGCATGGTAGACTAATCATAAAATTAGACCACATAGTATTCAGGGAGAGCTTGCCAAACGAATGCAAAATTGGCTTGACAGTAGGAGATAGTCAGTGATGGTGGAAGGTTGTTTTTTGGACTGGAGGCCTGTGGCCAGCGGTGTTCCACAGGGATCAGTACTAGGTCCATTTCTGTTTGTCATTTATATGAACAATTTGGATGAGAATTTAGAAAGCATGGTTAGTACATTTGCGGATGACACCAAAATTGGTGGTACAGTGGACAGTGAGGAAGGTTATGAAAGATTACAAAGACATCTTGATCAATTAATTGAATGGGCTGAGGAGTGGCAGATGGAAGTTTAATTTGGATAAACGTGCGATATTGCATTTTGGTACAACAAACAAGGGCAGGACTATACAATTAATGGTAGGGCTCTGGGTAGTGTTGTAGAACAGAGAGACATAGGGACTCAGGTACATAATTCTTTGAAATTTGGGTCACATGTAGACAGGGTGGTTTAGAAGGCATTTCGCATGCTTCCCTTCATCGCTCAGACCTTTGAGTATAGGAATTCGGATGTCACGTCGAGGTTATACAGGACATTAGTGAGGCCTCTTTTGGAGTACTGCATGTAGTTCTGGTCACCCTGTTACAGGAAGGAAAATATTAAACTGAGGGTTCAGAAAAGATTTACCAGGATGTTGCCAGGAATGGAGAGTTTGAGTTATAGAGATATGCTGGGATTTTCTTCACTGGAGTATAGGAAGTTGTGGGGTGACATTACAGAGGTTTATAAAATCATGAGGGGCATAGATAAGATGAATAGCAAGGGTCTTTTCCCTGAGGTGGGAAGTTCAAAACTAGGGGACATATTTTTAAGGTGAGAGGAGAAAGGTTTAAAAAGGATGTGAGGGGCAACTTTTTTACACAGAGAGTGGTTTGTACGTGGAATGAACTGCCAGAGGAAGTGGCAGATACAGGTACAGTCACAACATTTAAAAGACATTTGGATAAGTACTTGAATAGGAAAGGTTTGGAGGGAATATGGGCCAAACACAAGCAAATGGGACTAGTTTGGTTTGGGAACTTGGTTATTGGTGTGGATTAGTTGGACCGAAGGGTATGCTGTATGACTGTATGACTATAAATGCTGGAATGCATCTGTGTAATCTTCTGGGATCTCAATGATTTGGAATGGGTTATATCCTGGTACATAAACTCAAAAGGTCTGATCATATTCACAGTTTTTATTTGATAAGTGACAAGCCTTGTTGAGAATCACAGACTAGGATGGGTCCTAAGTTTCTGGTCTGCATTGATTGATATTAAGATCTTAATCCTCGGGTGAGGACAAAGTAAAGTTGGAGTTCCTGATTGTTATCCGATGATACATATGGAAAATGTACTGCATGGATCTCCAATGAAGAGGGGGATCAGTTTTGCTTCGATGACACCTCTCACACCCAGCTCCTTCTCTATTCACCAACAATGACTGACGAAGGGTTTCAGCCCGAAATGTTGACATTCCTGCTCCTCGGATGCTGTCTAACCTGCTGAGCTTTTCCATTTTCACATCTATTGACTCTGGCTTCCAGCATCTGCAGTACTTACTGTCTCCTTGTAACTGTTGTATTTGACTAGATTCTGTTGATTAGGGGTGCAGAGCACTGTACTTTTTTGGCTTTCTTTGATGCTATATTGCATGTCGAGTGTAAGTGTTTTAGCCTTTACACTATACAACGAGTGCACTGTTGGTCGAACATAAGCTGTTGTCAAACACAGGAAATAGGAGCAGGAGTCGAACATTTGGCCCACTGAGTGTGTTCCAACATTCGACTGGTTCATAGCTGGTCATCCACCTCAATTCCATTTTCCTGCACTATAGTCATCCCTTTTGATATCTTTAATCCCCAGAAATCATTACTCTTTATCTTGAATATATTCAATGAGTGAGCTTCCACAGCCCTCTAGGGAAGAGAATTCCAAAGATTCACCTCCCAAACTCTGAGTGAAGAAATTTCTCCTTACTTCATTCTGAGACTGTGCCACCCGATTCGGGAATCCCACAACTATGGGTAAATATCATTTCTGCATCTACCCTGGTGAGTCTGCTAAGTTTTATTAAGGTTATCTCTTATTCTTCTGGCCCCATCTCCTCAATCTCTCTTGTCATCCTAGGGATCATTCTGATGAACCTCCATTACACTGTCTCTATGGCATGTATATCTTTCCTTGAGTAAGGAGACCAAAACTGCACACAATACTCCAATTGCGGGCTCACCCAGGTTCTACACAATTGAACCTAGACACCTTTACTCCTGCACTCAAATCCTCTTGTGATAAAGCCAACATACCACTTGCCTTCTTAAATGCTTGCTGCACCTGCTTGTTATCTCTCAGTGACTTACAAACTGCGACTTATGAAACTTCTTTGAACATTATTACTCACCAACAATGGAAAGGATCACAACCACAAAGTCAAATATATTCCACCCAATTGTGAAATAATAATGCCTCAGTGCAAAGAGTTTGAGCAGACATTCACTTGTGAAGAAAATGATGAAGATAAAGTTGATCCAGTACAAAATGGTTTCACTCTCTTTGCTCTGATCGTCTGTTTCCACCATCATTGTGACCATGTTGAGGCAGATGAGAATCATGATGGTGATGTCAAAAACTTGCTGAGTGACAAAGTCATAGACTCCACCTTGGATTGCATTCTGTAATAAAAAGAAAACAATAGTATCTGGCACAAAGAATATATTGCATCCCATGTGGTTGAAACACCCTTTGCCACCCAAGAGAAACATCTATTGATGTCTTAAGAATACAAAAATCTGCTTCACACCCTACAGAGGAAAAGGAATTTGCGCTCTTGGACTGCTCCAACATCACCTAAGAGCCTGGTATAGAGAAAAAGATGGGATTCTGTACACTTCAGAATAGAATGAACTTTTCCGGCTTTGCAACAAAGTGAACTTGTTGAAGTGAATTTTGATTTAGACTCCTAAAACAGTGCCATGTTGTGTACAGGCTAAACAATTGCTGTACAGAGTCACCCTATTGTGAGATGAAGGAGCAGTAGTGACTGAGCCATCTAGGATAGATATTGGAAATATAACTGAAAGACTACTTTCTCCGTACTTATTCAAAGAACAGACAGCATATCATTGCTAAATTTACACACACCTTTCACTATTAAGGTTATAGACAATTCAACTGGAACTTTAGCAATGTTGGATAGCGAACGTATCTGCAGCATGGTCAGAGCCTGTCCTTCCATTACTCGCTGTTATGGAAGCAACTCGGGAATTTCTAAATGAGCTAAGAACAAAAGTTCCTGTGTGTTTTCTTTGGTCTGGTGTCTCAGCACTTTTAGTTCTTGTCACTGCTTACCAATGGCCTTGGAATGGGCTTCTGAGGCTTTTTGGATCCCAGCTTCTTCATTGCGTTATAATATTTCTTTTGTTCTTCAGTCATAAAGATATCCTGACCTCCAAAGTAAAGAGAACAGAAAGAAACTGGTTACAACCTTAGGAAATTCTATGTGTGCATGTTCATTTGTTTTCTTCTCTCCCCTCATTAAGTTGGTGATTTTTCACTGCACCGCACAAACAATTAACCGCTTCTCCAAGTTCCATTGAGAGCTTCAATTTGAAATGGTAGCAGACATTTTGACTGTAGACACAACCTTCATTCCCTTCCTGGCCAGGGTAGCTGACCCGATAAGCGGTTCTTTCTCCTCAGATACAATCCTCTTCCCTTCGAAAACTGCTCTTATTAACAACTGCCTCAGCAAATTAACCCTTGCTTCTCTAAAATCCTTCAATGTATTGCCACCTCTAAATCCATGCCCATCTTTCCTGCTCCAATTTGAATCTCTCCAATCAGGATTCAATCCCTGCCACACCACAGGCAGCTAAACATCATATTCTGTGATCGTGACCATAATATGTTATCCTTCCTCATCACTCTCTACAGCTTCAGACACTGTCCACTTACATTCTCTGACTACCTTCCTCTTGCTCAGCTTCGTAGTTGTTCAACCTTAGTTTACTTGCACCACTGATTTCTCTCTCCATCCCCATACTGTGGACCTCTGAAGTTCCTATGAGGCTGTTGCCTTGGAGCAGAGAAGGCCAAGTGGCAACCTGATTGAGGTCGACAAAATCTTGGGGGCCACAGATAGGGTCAATAGGAAGAACCTATTCTCCTTAGTAGAGAGGTCAGTTATCAGGGGCATATATTTAAGGTAAGGAGTAGGGGGTTTAGAGTGGATTTAAAGGAGAAATATTTTCACCCAGAGGATGGCAAGTATCTGGAACTCACTGCCTAAAAAGGTGGGAGACACCTGAACCACCACAACATTTAAGAAGTATTTAGATTAACACTTTAAACACTATAGCATTCAAGGCTAGGGGCCAAGTCTCAGGAAAGAGAATTAGAGTAGATGGATGCTTGATGAGCAGTGAGACATGATGGGCCAAAGGGCCTCGCTCTGTGTTGTAAGACTCTATGAGATCTAGACCCCTCCTCTTCAACTATGTGTGGTCCATTAGCAATTTCATTCAGGGATAGTGTAGCAGTCACTGGGAGCATGGGAAATTTATTCAGTGATAGCAGAGAAAGAAAAAGTGAAATCTGTCTTGCGCTGATGTTCTGCCATCTGATATCACTTGCGTGTATGTTTAAAGAATGTTCTAAGCATATCATATTTATGAAGAGTTCTGAAAATATTAAATAAATGATATAATTAACTGATTTGTCTCCTCTCTTCATTTCAAAAATAGTTCTAAATTTTGATTATTAAATCCAAAGGGTTCACAAGTCTCAAAACATTTGTTAAAACGGGTAGTGAGAAACCATTGTCAGAACATTTTCTTTTCCCCATACAAAGAGAAGTAAACTTATCTTTTTCTTTTGCTGATTGAAGTTATCAATGATGACACCAATGAAAAGGTTTAATGTGAAGAAAGATCCAAAGATGATGAAGATTACAAAATAGATGTACATGTAGATGTTGTCCTCATAAAATGGTTGTTCTTCAGCCTAGAATGATAATTATTCATTATTAATATTCTATAGCATAAAACAAATGATAACAGCTTATCAGCTTGCGACTTGGATGAAATGGTTTGAACCCTTCAAACTTTATGGAGGTGCTTTAACAATTTGGGTGATGTGGGAGGTCAGAGGGGACAATGAGGCTGTGATGGGGTTAGGTTGGCTTTTCACAGTTAACATTTAGGTCAAAGAACTCCGCTCATACACACATATAATTGACTCAATCCATTTAACAGAAAAGGCAAAACAGAGCTTTCCTGTCTTTAGAGGCCATACTATCGTTGAGAGACACCAGCCTACCTGGCTTGCTGTAAACACTCTATGCCCTCCAGACTAGTTTACTTTGGTAATTGGGGAGGCACATTTCTGAGGTCTGAATAATTTCAGTCTATGCATAATTCATTTCAAAACTAACAGCATCAGAGAAGCAGAAGAGTTACCAACGTTGAGCAAGGAAGGTCCGCATTTTTGTCTACATTGAGTTGACTGTGATCTTTGGGCAAATCAAAGGGAAATAGTTGTGTGAAGATACTTAACCTCCATTCTGGGGAGGAACTGATTTTAAGTCTTGATATCCCTCTCCTGAACTTTCTTGCAACTGTGCCTACTGGCATATTGGAATCAAGGGGTATCTGAGCCTGCAAGGAGCTCACTTGAAACAGGGGTTAAGGGTTAACAAGAAGTCTTAATGCAGGTTGTAGGTCACCAGTTAACATCGGTGGAGTTTACAGCTTGCATGCCTGATTAGGCTAACCAGAAGTTCTTAAAGGAACTGCACTTGAACAACTTTTTAAAAAATAAGTGGTGGAGCCAGATGGAGCGTGTATGTTGTTCCTGCTTCCACCCTCTATTTTGATTTCTCCCTTGGCACCACACTAACAGCAGCATGCTCAGAAGCTATCATAGGGTCAGCCAGAATTACCCAGGCTCCAGCTTTTGACCAACACTGAGATATCCAGCCAACGGCTACAACTTGGCTGCTTAATTTAAAAGAAGCCATCACCCAATTGAGAGTGAGTAGCATAGTGGACTCAGGCAAGATAGTGGTGTAGTGGCAATGCCACTGGACAAGTAACCCAGGTTAATGGGAACATGGGATCAAAATCCTAGCATACCATTTAAGGAAATTTCAATTCCATTCATTAATAAATTGAGGATAACAAAGATCATCTATGTATATACTGTTGTCTCACAGGGACAGGCTACAACTCCTATCATTAATAATGATTACAACACTGCCAAATTGTTTTAAAATTTCATCTGTTTCACGAATGTCCTTCCCTAAATCTGCCATCCTTACCTAGTTGGTTGAAATCAAGAATAACAAACCAGATGGATTTTTATGACAATCAATCATTGTTTCATGCTCACCATTACTGAGATTAGTTTTCGATTCCAGAGATTATGCTGGATTATGAGTGCAATGACATTACACTACACCACCAAATAGAACATACCATGGAAAGCAATCAGAGTTGAATCTCACCCCTGCATATGAGAGTTGGCAGGTTGTTATTCATAGTACAGAATTGTGCAGGGCTGTGTATAAATTAATATTGTGGATAAACTTTTGAGTTAATTACAAGCTCCAAATTCATTTATGTGGTATCTCTGCCTTTGAGAGATTCAAAGGGTGGAGTGAGAATGCAGGGTGCATAATTAGTCACATAGTTATGTGTCACCGCTAAGGGGGTCAGGTTATTGAAAATGCAGAGATCTGAAAGACTGCAACCTTTGGATCTCAGAGGATACAAGGCCAGCACCCATGTTATGCAAAAGGATTTCCCATTATCCAGCCTGGGTGTATGTGCAGCACCTACTTGCAGCACAGGCTAACCATTTCCTGTCAGCAGAATACAACTGTATAAAGACTAGTTTCAAAGTGGAAGGATAGTGTCATAGATAAACAAAATGCCACACTGTGGACCAAACACTTCTACTGGCAACTAGGGAAGAGGTTGTCAGGGTAGAAAGGATGTTGCAAGCTCCAGGAGTGGTAGGCCCAGAGAGTATGAATGTGGTGTTAAAAATTTGCCAGACTTGGAAGGATATCCACAAGATGTCAGACCTGAAGAAATCCACAAATTTAAGTGAAGCCATTAATATTAACGTGCAATGACATGCATCTGCTATCAATGGAATTGAAAGGGAGTGAATCTTGGCAAGTTCATCGACTCAAGCAGCTTACGCCTGAAAAAATACATTACCAGAAAGTTAACAAATGTCATGAGATAAGAATCATTGATCTGAATAGGACGAATTAGCGAAGATGCAATCACGAAGATTACTGAAGCAAAACACGGTGCAATCAATGCTTGTAAATGAATCAAACAAGGGTATTGCAGATTTCCTTTCAACATCAAATATGTCACACAGTTTACATTGCTTTGTTATGTTTTCATTGTTCTCTGCATTTTCAATGCATGAATACTATTCCAGTTTCAGAACAAGACAGAACTGAAACACTTTTAATGAATACAAACTTTCGTCATCAGAGGCTACATGGGATTGTTTACCAGTTTCACAACAACATCAGAAATCGTTGGCAAGGTGGAAGACACCAACATTGGGGCATGCCTGCATAACCCCGTAACCACAACATGCCAGCCCCATAACCACAACACGCCAGCCCCATAAGCACAACATGCCAGCCCCGTAAGCACAACACGCCAGCCCCGTAACCACAACACGCTAGCCCCGTAACCACAACACGCCAGCCCCGTAACCACAACACGCCAGCCCCAT